ATTTAAGGATCAATAACCGTGAAGATATAGTACAGTGCGTTACTGTAAGGTTACTATGTTAGCCGCGTTGATTTCACATACCTAATTTTAAACACAACTTATAAAGGAACTGTTAAGTAATCATAACATTGAACTGACGATATGACTATCGTGGCTATGTTAACGTTAAACCAATTATTATTAGTGGTCCATACAAAATCCTGGAACTTAACACTAGCGTTATAAAAAAGATATGTTATGTCAATAGCTTATATATAAACTTTTTTTCTCTCGTTGGTTTAATTATAACGTAAAATGGAAATCTACCAAACTTCTAGTTTTTTCTATAGTATTATTATTAATACAAACAAAGGACTTGTACTGTTCCAATATGGCACTTTGACATATCAATCCGCCCTCCTGTATCTTTCTCTCATATCTGAGCAACATATGACCAACAAACATCGTAATGAAGGGGGTTTTGGTGAACAAAAACGCGGGCCCCACGCACTCGAACCTCTGCCCTCCTGAGTGCTAGACCGTGTGCCTAGCCATTAGACCACATCAAGCCACGGGGGAATGATTGCAATCTTTCCTTTTACAGATTAATCATATATAATACTAATGAGAAATAGGACTGACACACTTCTAAGCTGCAGACAAATTTGTTACTTGGATGAATTGACGAAATATTGCTTCAATATATCATACATACTTAGATTAAACCAGAAAAGAGTATTTGACAAAACTGTACTTAATCCTAATAATCTACACAATTTTTTTCCTCCTTAACCGTATATTCTTTTCCGTTTTGTGGAGTGCAATTATGCACCCTTGGTTACGTACCTGGTTATAAAAGGCGATCGTCATATGCCCAAGGTCATACATTTGATCGGGTTTGACAATGAGTCCAACGTCTAGCAAGTTTACACTTTTACATATATGCATTACAAACAAAGTATTCTTTTTGTTTTCATACCTTTTCGTACACAAGATGGCTACACTATGTCTATTTCCTTCCAGAATACCAATCCTTTCTGGAGGCCAATCACTTACGTGGAACCGAACAATTATCAATTATATTTATGTATTTCCATTTTGTATCTTATTATTTTATGCAGGCAGTGGAGCAGTTCTTCAGGTTTGATTGGTTTTCACCATTACCTTAGAAGTAGATTCTTCTTTACTTTTTACTTGAGGGAGACTCAAGAGGCAGGTGAGTAAACACCTGATAGCCGGTCTGAGCATGGAAAAATCGTACCTCACCAACATGGTGTTGGGTAGCCCGCTCGCGGCACTTCCTCAGATATTCTTATTCCACATTCTCACACTCTTTCTCTTGAAAGCACGCAGCAAACCGTCAGCGATAGTTGTAGAATAGATCACATGCTACAAAATAAGATGACAAGCTAGTAAACGAGGAGACATCCATGGACTATCGTTGACAGCGTTAGTCGTCACTGATTGTAAGTCAAATAGTGAGCGAGTTGATAATTTTCACTTGGGATGAGAAATAGAACTAAGATGTTTTCCATAGATAGGTTAATCGAACCGACGTTCCTACGGACGTCGATTCTAGGGAGAAGCTAATGTAACAGCTCAGGTTGGTTGGTTAATAGTTGATCCCAAACAACCAAGCATATGCCAAAACAGTATTGTTCAAGTATTCATTCACTTCCTTATTTTTTATAAGCCTTATATTCCCTATTATCTTATATTGAATGTTGAGAGCCTTTGTTTGTCTGAACAGATAATCCCACGCTCCACTGTGACTGCGCGAAGATCGAAATAAAGACCTATTCACTACTTGTCTGGTTTCTTCTGTCAATAGCACGAGGGTTACCTTGAGGCACGAAACATGTTCTTCAAAGTTCAGGCTTCTTGTTTAACTAATTCTTAGATCGTGTAGTGAATTGAGTGTATGGACTCTACTTTTATTCAAACAAAGTTGCAGTTCATGGAGATGCTTTCCAAATTGCATGATCTCGCACTTCTTGAGGTTGAATGGTAATTGCAATTCTTCACCCCAGATAGTTAAGTTATTGATGTCTTTTTGGATCATGGATACACTTTCACTTGGAGTCTCAGGCTCATGGCTGTATACTATTTTGAGATCATCAGCATATAAGTATGGTTTCCCAAATCTTATGATGTTACATATATCGTTTATAAGCATGAGAAACAAGAGTGGAACTAATACGTTTCCCTGGATGACACCACTGTTAATTGGTCCAAGTGTTGAGAGACAGTTATAGAATCTTAGTATCTGTTTGCGTCCCGTTAAGAACGATGCAAACCGTGATTATAATGGGTTGTTTATTCTGAAGGACTTTAGTTTGACGAGAAGCCTTTAGTGTGGGACCTTGTCAAAGGCTTTCTTAAAGTCTAAGAATAGGACTGATACAAGGAGTCCGTTGTCTCGTTTCTGAGTAATATCATTCAGGTAGTCTACTAGGCATGTATCGCATGATCTGGACCTAGGAAATCCATGCTGGGATGTCGAGGCGAGATTATTCATAAGTAAAATATGTGACGTCTGTGGGAAATTCTCCATTACGCTTTGGATATCACATTGACATGTCAATCTTTGATAAATTGGTGGAGCCGACATTCCTATTGAAATAAGGAGTAGACAGATTTGACAGCTAATGTTGATTGGCTAAGAGTTGGATGAAAACCTCTGAGTAATTGAAAGTATTTATTTACTTTGATATTTTGCTCAGGCGTTACCTTTTTCATTACTTTACATTAAATGTTAAAAATTTTGCGTTTGAGAAAGCCAAACTCGCGCTCCAACTGTGATGTCCCATAACATTAATAAAAATCTATTGAACCACTAATCTCACCATAAATGAAAGTCACAAAGGGGTCATACTACTGTCAATACTAGGTTAAGCTTTAAACAGTGTTCTGTTTGACCGAATAAAAGATTCACTAGACACCCAACCTCGAGATCAACAGGCTGGATTCAGAAGGATTTGGTTGTGCACCGGCCAAGTCGCGACACTGGAGATTATTTCTGGGCAGACATCTGGATGAATTTCATTACCATGTATAAATATCTTTGACTGTGAAATAGTTTGACAGAGTTTGTAAGAAAATCTTACCTACCATTCTTCGACAATATGGTGTACCTGAGATTTTCAACATCGTACGGAGTTCATACGACGGACTACACTGTAGAGTCATGTATGGACGACAGCTGACCGATACTTTCCAAGTGTGGACCGGTATCAGAAAAGGCCACCGACTCTCCCACTTTCTCTTTCTTCTAGTGGCTGATTGAATTATGAAGGCCTCCACATCAAAGGGGAAGCGTGGTATACAGTGAGCAGCCTGCATGCATTCAGATGATATGGACGTCTATCCCATACACACTAGATAGTGCAGATGAAGATAAACCATTTTTCTTTATCACTGCATTCTCTCACTGCGAGCCTCTGATCACATTTCACTCTAACAATAAAAGCTAGCATGGATTTGAGGACATTTTAAATATACCCGTATCATTCTGAAACTTCCTCTACATTTCATTCAAAATAGCTAATACAAATACTCAAATGAATAAATAGATAAGTTTTGTTGTTTTTGAATACTTACAAATTGAATTATGGGTTGTGTTAGTTTCGAATTAGAAAAGTGATTATTATAGCCACGACATCTATGCGACAGACTACCTAAATGAGCGACTTTAGCAATAAATTGTGATACACGACCATCATGTTGACTATTTGTATAATGCAAAGAAACAGTAATGGATAAATTACTGCTGTTATTATTGTTATCATTACGTGCATCGAATGTAGTTGATGAACTTTTGTGTGTAGGCTGTCTGAAAGTTGATGTCTGTAAAGGTTGAAAAGAAGAGTTTGTAAATTTTCATGATTTAGTGTTAAATGTCACCTGATGTCAGTCAGTTATATGGAATCCTGTCACCTCTTAATAGTTGCATCGTTACTTTTGGCATACGTTTTGCGAGAGAGTAAGGCATATATCACTTAATAGGCCTTTGCTAAGTTACTCTTTTAACTTGCAGTTTGATTGAATGCCTTCGATATTCTCTTGTTACTTCTTGCACAACTCAGGACACTTCTGAAGCTTTCAACTCGGTCAACGCGGAACTGCTTAATGATATCTATGTTTCATAATAATCTTTCTCGACGTTTCACAAAATTACCATGAAAAAATGATCGCCTACTAGCTAAACGGACTAATTACTCAAACATCTTTAAACAGTACAATTTTCTTTTGAGAGCTACCGCCAGATCATTACTAAAATGCATTCCTCACTAGCTTTTATCGGTCCCCTTCTGACTTTATCATAATACACGATCCATCGTAACGGTATCACAGGACCATCAAGAAACCAACTAATGGACGTTCTGAAAATATTTATTCATCGGTACATTAGTACCCATAGATACATAGTAAGAAGCTGTGTGCAACAACTTATACGGAATCTACAAATCGATTCGTCCAAAATTGAGTTTTAAAATCAAGACAGATTATATACTACTATAATAGATTATGCACTATAAGATCTTTTCAGTTACGTGAATGCCCATAATTTGATAAAGTGAGTGCCGTACATGTGATCATCAAGACGAGAATTGGTTTAGGTTAAGAGGAATATTACTGCTAACCCATTTCTGTGATAACGGCATGAACGTTCGTCAATACATGCTTTCAGTTCGTATAAGATTTGTCCGACTGCTCATACTGATTGTTTGCACAAATGTCTGTCGTTTAACCTTTAATCTAAATTATAAATTTCCATAGTACTCACAAAGGAGCCCAGTGATGAGAAAATTTGTTGAAACCATTTTCGTGAACCTAATTTTTTATATATCCCGTTTCATGAATGTATGATTCAAAAATTTATACTTTTTAATGTCTGAAAATCAACAGATATATTTTTCACAGAGGTTGTATAAAGTGCTGAAGTCACTGCTTTTGTCTGGAAAAATTTGCACATTATGTTAGTAGTAATCGTTCGTCTAATTTGATGTGATGAAGACCTTATATCCTGAAGGTCGTAAAGCGGGGCAATTCGAACATCTGGAGAATGTTGTGGATTTCAGCCTAACTATACTATTTCAATTGAAAACCATACTATGTTAGCTGTCAGCCTCCTCATCAGATTTCCAAATTCAGGAAATTGTTATTCTCTGAAGTTCACTAAAGATATCACCGTTTACGATCTCTGTCATGAAGTTCAATCAAAAATTAGAGAAGCAGCTTGTCTAAATCGTATGTTTATATGCCACTGTCCGTAACTTCCATTTAGCATCAGAGTATGGCATTTTTGTGCCAGATCCAGACCCCAAGCACTCGTTTTGGTTGGATAATTCAAGAATGCTTTCATATTACCATTTCTGTGATAATGTAACATGCGCTTCCTTATTTTTATTCGTTTCAGTTTGAGGTTCAATATCGTTCCAAGCTTCGCCTTCTTGTTATACAGACGATGGATGAGACAAGGAAAACACTACAGGTGGACGATAGCAAAACTGTTTCTGAACTTATGTTTACGATTTGTGCTAAAATAGGTGCGTTACACTTTACTGTATGTTACCGTACTTCGGGTTATTTTTTAACGTTAAAATGTGTATATTCCCTAAGTAAAATGGATGTAAATTGCACGTTTTAGCATGGCAATTGTAACTAACGTTCAGTCGCATCAACTTGTTACCCACTTTTACATCGACATCGTGCTTGGTTAGCAAAATATTATTTGTCTTGTCTCATAAAGGACTCATTAAGAAGTTTCGAAACGGAAGCTTTTGTTAATGTGTGCAAAGTCTCTTTAGATCAACTCACAATTAAACGTTAACTACAGTAATTCACACACCGTCCTTTGCTAAACCTCATATACAGTTATTCCGTAAGTTATATCAGTTGTATTGTAATTTAATCCATTGATTATTTTCGTAGTAGTTTGCCGATCAAACCAAATTGCGTCTTTTTAGGTTTACTTAATTTCGTTTTTTTAATTATTCACCGTTTTCATAGCAAACTACATCGAATTTCAGTCGTAAACTGTAACAGCGTGTCACCGAAAAGTAACATCTAAGTCCTTTATTTATGTAGATCGATGTCTTAAAACTTATATGCCTCTTTCTCAGGCTTTTCAGTCACTAGATGCTCGACAGTAGTAGGAAAATTCCAGCAGTCTTAAGAACCATCTCTGATGTTCCGAGTAATCTCACTTAATAATCGTGTTATCTCAAGTATTCTTGTTTCAATTGTCGAGTATTTTCAAACACTAATCTCTGTATGTAAGGTTTATAGCTTTCTATACAGTTTTCGAGAAGCTGATATTAGCTTTTTTCTAAGAGGACATTTCGTTTCCTTTACCAGTGTATTGGTGCATCGAGTTTCTCGTTCTTGACTTCTTACTCAAGTTTATTTACTTTATCATTTATTTTTTAAATACCAAAAGTATTCTGAACTTTTCCAAATACGGAACACAATCTCATTATTAGCTAAACTGATTTATTGTCATCAACTAGGCACTTAACTAAAATCACCAGTCTCATAACAGTTTACGTTACGTAAGGTAACATATGCTTACGGAAGACTACGGTTTCTAACCGGTTCATCAAGTTGTGGGTATTGCTTTGAAAGCTTGGTTTGAACAATAGTATTGCCCTTTCGTAGATATTGAAAACACACGCGTTTAGTAAATACATAAAAAATAACATGCCGTCAGGTAATTTTTATTAGTATTAGGACTTGAAGTCCTTAATAACTAAGGATTATGAAATCCTGTGAGGTAACCGGAAGGTTACTCTTCAGTTCCTTATTTTCAACTATTTTAGGGCCAATATAAACCTCAGCTTATCCACCACTTAGTACTGGAGTCTCATTTGTCTGTGATAAATCGGCGATGTAAATTGACTTACGGGATCTACATTCAAATGGTAAGAGTAACCATGGCATTGAAGGCCAGTTTCAAGTTCTAGTTAGTAAAAATGTCGGACGTTACAAGTGCAGAATTCATCTGAAATAGACTTATAATACATATCACATTGCTCTTCCCCTGTACTTACTAGACAGTCATCGTTTACAACCACTACCTTTAAAATAATTTTACAATAAAACGATACCAATCTACTGAATTGCCTTGCTACTTAAAGTAAGATATTTTCTGTAATAAAACCTGTAAAACAGCTGAAAATATGTTATGCTGCAAAAATGTCTACCTGTTTGGTTTTATATTATTAATTTTTGCTATAAGTAGGGAATGTGATTAGCCTCTATTTTTTACTAGTATAAATTGAACTGTGGACCATAGGTACGAATGTCGAGGATGGACTTTGTAGTTTCAAATAAATTGAACATTGGGTAGAGATTTAATGATATTTTTTTAAAATGTCCCATTGAGTAGAAAAACTTTTTGATGCTTCGTGACTTGACCAAGAATAACTTGACGTTGATATATTCAGACCTATTATTCCTGATTGTGCTAAAATGTTCCGCATTGTTTTCTTGCTAACATTTAAACTTGTGTTGACTTAATCCGGTTATTTATTTACTCTGGAGAAATTGTGCATCATAGGTTTAAAGACTAGACTTTCAGTTAGTGGGTTTCAATTGGAATTTCCTCCATGAGAGAAATGTGGTTCGTCTTTTATCACGAAATTCTGTAATTTGTTAGTGAGCTTCATAAATGCTTGTTTCACTATAACTTTGTCAGATTAGTGTTCCAAGTTACGTAGCCATACGTTTTTCTAAACCTTCAATTCATCTAACCGAACTTAACTGAAATAATGTTTCTAACTACTCAAAATAGATAGCATTTTTATGAGGAATATAACTCGTTTTCTTTTTGTTTCATTCGCTTGTTGCTTTTAGGTATCACTAACTATGAAGAGTACTCATTAATAAGACCATCCGATGACGATGAAAAGATGCGCACGCTAACACTGAGGAAAGGTAGAGGCAGCATCAGAAACTTGGAGAAATTAGAGAAGATGAAACAAAAATTACATACAGACGATGAGTGTAAGTTGTATTTCTTGCAGTCTCAGCTATAATGGCGTTAAACAACTTCATCATTATATCTTAAATTTATTTCTTCCTGTCATCAATCACATTGCTAATTTAAGCATTCCCAATGATTATTTTGATTCACCCGTAAATTATACAATGAAATCTTTATTCTACTTAATTGTTTGCGTAAATGTAGTTTGCATTTTGTGAGCGATAAAATAGTAACTGGAATACCTGGTTCCTAACAATAAAAAGTTAAAATTGACCCGATATCAATTGTGTAATTGTAGATTAAGTTAGCTGCTTTGTATTTTCATATCTATAGCTTGAATTCGTTTTTAATTTTTTATCTTAGTTAACTTCACTTGGTACTTTAAAACAGTGGGTTTCTCACTTTATCTAGATCGTATGAATCCGTTACTAGGTGTTCGAATTATCTGTGCATGGTTCTAGAAGTTGTTAGTTAGTGCTGTTTTCAGCTACTTATTTCATGTAATAAGCTGTTGAACAAAACATCTGCACATCAGTTTTGTCTTCAGATTACTTAAATTTTATGAAGGGGATGCTTTATGTATTTATTTCTCAACTCTATATTTTCTCGAATCATGTCTTCTGCTCCCAATCTCTTCTACTACGGTTGCTACTGTTAGCTACTTACGTCACTCTGGCATCCGTCTGTGATAAAGTGGTTTGGCAGCTTAAACGGATGAACATATGGGCTAGGATCTGCTTTTCATATAACTGACTGACACAAATGTTCACTTGAAACGATTTTCATAAACCTAAAATATGTTTATGTTTTTAGTTAATTGGTTAGCACCTGGCAAAACGCTTCGTCAACATGGAGTTGATGAGTCGGAAATTCTGCTTCTCCGAAGGAAGTATTTCTACTCCGACCAGAATATAGATACTCGGGATCCTGTTCAACTAAACCTTCTTTATGTTCAAGTGAGTTTACGATAAGCCTTTGCATTAACTATTTAAGCTTCGTCACAATTTTTGATTACTTTTTAGTGCGTAAAAATGTTTCGGATATTCGTTAGTACAGAATATTGCAAGTGTGCCTAACTCTCCCTCATAATGCTCATCAGGTCAAATACATGAACAATTACCATACCTTTTTGAACAGAATATTACTTCAGTTATTGATTTTTCTGCTCGTAGAATTGAGACAGTTATCATAAATTAATATAATTTCATTTTTTCTTCACTTTGTTTCTGATGAGGATGAATTGTAAAATCTAGTTAATGACAAATAACACGCATCGACATGGAAGAATACTTCATTTTTCCCATTCCATGTCTGTTTAGTTCTACTCAATTAAAAATATTGTTCAAAGATAAGTATAATGGAACGCCAAGTCTCTGAACACTCTCAGCTCTGGGTGCCCATGCCAAAAACCATAAAGTATAACTACTCTCACCTCAGCTTTGTAAACCCGACATTCTACGATTAGTTTAGCACAATAACGATGCCAAAGTTGTCGTAGATTGTCATAATCCTCTCTGGCTTTCACTATGCATAGATTTATTTCATATCTTGCGCCACTACAAACAAACAACACGCAACTATTTTCAACTGATTACTGCAAAGATTGATCGCAGGCACCGGCTTCTCAGTGTCGCAGAGGTACTTCACATTTAAAAGGTGCAAAATATATACTATACTCATGGGCACTAACTGTTGACTGATTAAATGCAGTTTTGATAATTTGTGTTTCATCTCGTAGAAAAACAATATCATCCTAATACTTGATATTGCTAAGTCGTTTTCCAGGTAACGAATTCGCGCTACCACTACTTAGTTCAATCAGAGCCGCTTCCAAAATATCATTGATGTCAACATCAAAGGGGAATGCTGAGGCGGGGCAACACTACCTAACGTCACTACTTTAAAAATTAGGAGGTAGTTTTTTGAAAAGCCTTAAAGATGTTACTGAACTTCTTAGACACAACCTTCAACAGACAATCTCTAAGTACAACCCTGTTCAACTAGTCGAAGGCGGCCCTAGTATTAAGAAACAGTTATTGTTGGTCTGCAGTAAGTATGATAGCTTCGAAACACTGTCTACCAGAGCTTTCCAAATAATCCAGTTAGTCCTTTGACCATATGTTCATTACCATCCCTAAAGAGAGCCAAGCGCAAGTAGTTCTGACCTAATGACTTGCGAATTCACAAAAACTGGAGTCCTATGTATGCTTCCGCTTCATTAGATGGGTCGGTAATCACCGGTCAAGCAAAGCGGAACAGTCTTACCAACGTTGTATGGGTGAAAGATCCTTCCAACTCCTCCTCAGAAAACTTTACTCATCTTCCAAGACCCCTTGGGATGCTGCTGATTAACCTTACAGGTCTTTTTATTGATATCAGGCTTCTTTCTGCAAATGGTTCCGATAAACTGAAAACGTTTCCGGTAGTGATCATATTCAGCTGCTGTTTCCAACTTATTAGCATGCTCCGATCACACGTTTTCTGTGTCCTTACGCAAACTTTGTGAAATTCCTTTTCATAAGGATCCACATTTGTTATCAAACTTGCAGTTTTACAAAGTAGACTGGGGTACTTCAATGAATCGTAAAGGGCTTACAGTGGCCAAGTGCTTATAAGCGGGGCGTTTCGTGAAGCCACACGAGACCTGACCTACCATTTTCATGATGTCATGAAAACATATTCAATGCTCAGCTATACTTTTCTGTGTGCCGGCAACTGGTTTGGAACTTAGCTTTATCTTATTTAGCTTCTACGAAAGCTTATATCAATTCATTTAAGATGATGAACTTGTGGGGCACCAAATTGTAAGGACTGTTCAAGACTTTGTCCACAATGCCACCTCGGAATTCTAAATCAATATATTATATTGCTCGGTACATCGATTACATCAAGTGACCTGATTTACTTAGTATTTTTTGTGATAAATATTAGGGTTTTTCCTTAATCAATACCCTCGAGGGATCGAAGTTCATCTGTTTATACCGATCTTTAAGAAGTGTAAGCTAAGACTATCGGTCAGATTTATTTTTCTGTTCATGCGTGCAAAGCTATTAAAATTTGTCATCTTGTCTATTTTCTGCATAAATTTTATTATATTGCTTCTCAGATATTCACAAATCAGCACAGTTTGCATTACAGATTGACATTGAATAGGCAGTTGTTAAACACTAAAGATCGCACTAGTAGATAACTGTTTAGTCGTTTTCTTATGTCTTTAACACATTACAAACGAATTAGCCATGGAAGTTATTCTGAAAATTATTAGTATAATTTATTCCTATTTAATTTACAGCTTAAGGAAGCTATATTGAATGGTACACACCCAATATCACAAGATCAAGCTATCAATTTAGCTGCTTTACAATGTCAAGTTGAATATGGCCCAATGGTACCAGAGAAAATTAAACGAAATCCTATAGAGTAAGATAATTATAATTTGTTATCATTGTTGTTATTATTGTTACTCTAAGTTTACTTCTCTAAGTAAATTCGATTAAAATAATATTTAGATTCGGGAATTAATTAACCGTTAAATTGTTTATATTTGTGTCAAATATTTATCAAATTTTTATTGTTTTTTTCATTCCATTTTACATATATGTGCATTTTATCGTTCATTTATCCATTATTATGAAAAATTAGAAATCTGTAAATCGTAATCAGTGTGTAATTGTCCAAAGTTCAAATTTGCTGGTTGATATTTTGAATTGGTCATTGGGCGGATGATATTATTATTATTATTATTATTATTATTATTATTATTATTATTATTATTTTATGATATCATTAGAAATCTGTATTTTCTAATGAGTGAAAAAAGAAAAACACAGTTGATGAATATAGAGAGATAGAAGAGATTGGATCATAAAGTGATATTTGAAATTTCGGATCACTTTATGTGATGATACAAAACGAGTTTGTTTTTACTCATATTTCACTATTTGATGGTGAAAGCTTTGTCAATGTAGTAGTAAACCAGGATTTACAAAAATCTCCGCTTGGTAACTTGATCAAAGAAGTTTGATCAATTCTTTTAATGTCTGAATGTCTGTGATCAACACATTCAATGTAACAATAATACAAAATTGAAATCTTCAAGTAGATGACTTTATTTTAGCAGAAAATAAAAAAATGACGGTTTAGTGTATAAATGTGTGTAGATAACTTATGTCTTACTAATATTTGGTAACTACTCTACAAACATAATTCAGTGGTATTTGTTGCTCAACAGTAAACTCATATTCTGTGTAAGTTATGCTTAGTAGTCTGCAATTTTTCGTGTCTATATTAGACGGCAGTAGGGCTTCCTAATCAATTTTCACCTCATTTTAGACAATAGATCTTGTAAATAATTGATTATTTGTGACGTTTTATGTTATTCCGAGTTAATATTTAATTGTCGGTTGAATAAAGATTGTTACTATGATCTGACTCAAATTTTATGCATTTTGTTCAGTTACTTTACTCTCTGTGTAAACTTAATCTACTATTAATTACTTTAATACCTACTTGCAAATTTACTGGACAAAATAACTGATGACTCATTTACTTGAACCCATCTTATGATTTCAAAGCTGAATATTCCATCCAGCTTTCTAGATTAAAGTTAATGTGATGCATTACCTAATAACCCAGAGAAGAAAGTGTTAATTAAACGTTTCAGTGAAAATATTCTTTTTGGTTAGTCAATCATATGCGAAGTAAAATCTGACATATATGTTGATTGGTTCAAGTCGCCATACCACATTAGTTCTTCAAGATAAAATTATCATGCTAAATCCCAGACTAACAGAACTAACAGTATCAGTAGTTATAAAAAAGATTAGGTATAAAAAAAACGAAAAACGTATACGAAGATTTCGGGATGCAGGTTCCAAGGGAGGATAAAAAGTTACTACACCTGTGCCATTGAGAATGGTCATTTTTCGTTATTCATAACATGGCCAAAGTAATTGACTTCCTTTACATACAGTTTCCCTTTGTTTTGTTGCCATTTCCTTTTAATCCGTAGTTCAGTTTTAATTTTTTAATTTTAAGCAACTGTATTGATTAGTTTTATGAAATATATATTTATATGATTATTTTTCAGCCTAAAAGATCGGTTGCCCAAAGAATATATTAAATCCAAGGGAATCGAGAAAAGAATATTGGAAGTAAGTTGAGTGGTAATGATGGATCACAACGTAGTTTTATCAAGTGTTGATATGAACAGATTCATCGAGGTATTTCAAGCTTTAATAAACTATGTAAAATCATAGAGGTCTCAATATTTTTATTCAACGTGCCTTGAAAAACTAGGCTGATGTGTTTCCAGCTCTAATCCATGATGTGATGCAATGTCAATCTGGTTTTTCAGTTATAAACAACGTAGAATTTGGAACGAATTTGTATTGGGTCGATTTGCCGCATCAATTCAACACAGCATCATAAAATTAACAAAAGAATCTGTATTGTGGTAACATTAACAATGACAAGACTAAATATAGAGAATTTATTGCAAAAATGGAACGAAATAATAGGTAAAATGGATATGAAATAATATTGAAACTCAAGATTTCGGAAAAAAATAAATAATGAATCCTGATGTTTCACCTCAACCGATTCTCAGTTGTCTTCTAAGGTTCCCAACCACTGATCTCGATTATCCTATCGATTGCAACCAGGATGTTTGTTGCTGCAAATGTGATTTCGGTTAATGATCATTCACTTGATCGACTGATGCTACATTATTATGATTTCAAGAATAATTGACAATTTGTTTACTATAGAAAAAATAAATACTACCAATAAGAGCTTCTATAAAACAAACTTTATCTTTCAGTTAATACTGAGTGACCACAATGAGATTTATTTTCTGAATTACATATAATCATCAATGGATCGAACAAGTTGATGGAAGTTAATTAACTCGGGCTTTGATGATTCAGAATCAAAGCTCTTGTGCTATCTAATTTTTGCACACTATTAAACGGTTGAAGACAGGGCATGAAACAGTTATTAGCTGGTCCCAGCCTATCACACAAAAGTTACCTGTTTATCTTTTCTATTTATACATTCTACCTTTCTTTAAATAATTCAGCCCACCAGTATTTATTCATTTTTTCTGTGATGTATGTGTATAAGTTGATTAAAAAAACCTAAACAGTTACCGATGCGATTAGTCAGATTGAAATGTTCCACTCATAATAAGCTAGATAATCGTTTATTTTCCATTGTAAAGTTTTACATTTATCCTGATTGTGGAACTAATAACTTCTTTTAAAGCAATGCTAATTAATTATTGTATTAATAACGATGAATAGCATTAATCATAGTTGTAGTGCATATCTTTCTTTATAATTCAAGCTTATAATTATTGTTATTTTGTTATGATAGCCTTTTGGTGAATATATATGATGGGATGTAATACTGAAAAAATCCATGCATAGAATTAAACTAATTCATATTTGTGTAGGTTGTTTTTGTACATTTGTTCTATTTCCCTTCCTCTCACTTGTTCACTAGCAAAAGTAATTCAATTAATTAATTTCTTCCAATAACCTATTGATAGTTCATTTATTTTGGCTACTTAGACCAAACGGAATGAATTAAGATTGAAACATGTAACCCAGTAATTGAAATTCTAACTGTTTATTCTTTAAATTATCTTAATCATCCATAATAATAATATTATTATCGAATAAATTTACTAAATAGGCAATAAACAAAAAAAAAGAAACAACAGATATTTTACACACTCACTATGTTTTACATCAACATATTGAATCATATCCATTTCCAATGCCCACTATTCACTCATTGTGTAAATCAATCTAATCAATGATAATTTGTGTGCTTCAAATACCTGTGGACAGATATTTTATGTGAGATTATTGGTTTGGTTGAAGTATAAGGTATATACTTATTATAAATGTGAAGATTTCTTATTATCGGTAATTGAGTTGAATTGAAAAATATTGGTTTAGATGCCTGTATAAAGTTCATAATACACAGCTTAACATGGAATTTTGTTTAGAAAAAACCCAACAACACTATCTTTAGGAAGATTTTACATAAGAAACTATCGTATTACACAGATATTCACTTCTAGACAATCATGGTGGTTTAGTAACTTTAATAAAATTAGTGTAACCAATAAACTAATTTTACGATTGATCGCTGAGTGATGGTGAATATCATGTTTTACAAGTTCTTTACCACTAACTGAACTCTGTCGACAAAGTTACAATACAGCCATTAGCCTAAGAACGCGATATCTCGCGCAATATATCAAGGTGTTAGATAGTTGGAGGTATTCATTTGAAAATTGTAGATCGAGGTTTCATGTTAGTTGGCACTAGTTAGCCAGTTATAATAACAAAAATGTTTACTTTCATGGAAAAGTAAGAAAATGTTTTTGAATGTTCATTCGTGCGAATATGCCAAAGAGAATTACTTCACTTTAATTGATTCATCTTGAATTTATTATTCTGATTCTTAGTTGGTTCGTATAGTGTTTCGTTGTAATAATAAATTATAATAAAGTATTATGGTAGTGTTCGTCATTGATTAGGATCAATTGGGATACCTTGAAATGAGTTCCTGAAATCCTAGTCAGAAATTGTTTTCGATGTAGTGGAGGCACTTCTGTAGTGAAATGTTACTCAATAATGGCATTATCTGATCTTTGGACAATATCACAAATCGATTAGGTTGAAAATGTCTACCATTAGACGCCAGTCCATTAATTTAATGGCTGATTGGTCACCGCGATCTGTTACAGGGCTCATGGATACCTGCTGTCGGAGGGTCTCGTACTAAAAAATACCCTGTGTTCCCTAGTTTTTAGTGCTCAGTCCGATTAAGACGAGTAACATCTAGAAATCAAGCCAATCGTTGAAACACCTATTCAATAATACTGTCATAAAACACGGTAATTATAATTCTCTGTTGGTCATTACATTTTATCTATCTAGGTAGGGGTGGCTTATTGTGTTACTCACTCATTTATTTATCTGTCTTAGTCATAAACGAACAACATAATGTTTACTAAACGTGCTCGCTCCTTCGTTTTAATTAGTAGTTATCATGGGTCTGAAAATCTTATGTATTTTATTCATCTATTAATGATGTATATTATAGTTGGACTGATGCCAAATCCATCATTACGTATCTCAGTTTGGTCAGTCTATTGCTCGCATCCTATGGTGTGATTGTATACGAACTGCGAATCGTACCATCCATTTATTTTTCTCGCTGATATTTTAAATGACAAGAGTATATATTTATTAACTCTTAAACGTCTTAAAGTCTAATACTTTCTGTTTCCCTTCGTCACGTAACTGCTCTTTAAAAGAAAAAGAAAATCCGCTCAAATCGCTGTACATTTACAAAAAGTTTATTTTTTTCGGTATTTTAATAAGTTATACAAGTATCTTCTTTGGAGAAACACCATCGAAATATTGAAAGCTTTTTTTTATAGTTTACTCCATTGTTGTCATCTTTTATTAAAAAGTCAACCGTTAGCTCAATTTTGATCTTAACTTTCGCATTTTTTAAAATGTTAAATTTTTCCAAACAATGAATTTCAACGTTGTTCAGCAATATCAAAAGTTGGGCAACTATGATGAAAAAGAAGCCAAATTACGCTATGTCCAATTATGTAGATCTTTACCAACCTATGGAATAACATTCTTTCTTATAAAAGTGAGTGTATATATTGATGAAAATTTTAATTGTTATTGTTATAATTATTATTCAGAAGGACGATTTTTTAGTTATCTAGATTCAAATTTACTGTAGGATGTAGTGGCTTAGCTTCGTCAGTCAATCCCCTTGATAACCGTTATTATATAAATCCCAACAATGTTTGAAACGAGAAGGCAATAAGAAGCGGCGAATACAATTTATTAGCGGTTGGCACATATAACAAAGCTACATATACATCAAGCGGATTTAGAGCAGACAGGTGAATATATGTGTATGGACAAATACGAAGGCGAATTTATAATCGAATCGAATAAGGCGCAGCTAGGCAAGGTAAATGCAATTAATAGGATTCGGGTACATATATACATGAGGAAGAGGATGATTCATAGAGCGCTATTTAAGCGATAAACATTTAAGCTAGAGAGATATGTGCGTAGACTGTCATGTGATCAAGCACACACGTTTACACCAATATAGTGTTCACCATAGTACAAAGAAATAGACGAATTGTTACTGTCCGAATAATATTGTCTGTTAAATAAGTTAATAAAAGACCTTAACAAAAATTAGCCATAATCGAAATTAGTTGTAGGGCAGTTGCTATAAGAATAAGTATATTGAAACCAACATAAGAGTTCTCTTTTTTTGAGCAAAGGCTTAAACACACATTCTTACATGTTTCTGGTTGTTTCCTAAAATACTATTGTCCAAATTTAAAGTAATGATGGCTGAATGCTATTTGTCATTTAATTAAATAGAAAATGTCGATTAGTGTTAGAGGAATATTGTTGCTCTTCAGATAATTATTCCATTTAAATCAATTCATTTTATATTCTGTTGGATAGGATTGAACATTAGTACCATACTAATATATAATTGTCACATTTCATGTCAACAGGATTTAAACGCTCACTTTTTAATTATAGAATCTCACTTTTGGTCAGTGCTTTATTTATTTCAGTGTGAGCAGTAGGATATGAACTATAACTTTAGAAATATGCCCTAAGTTTTAGTACACACAATCTGTAAAATATATAGGGTTGTTTTTTGTTCACTTTTTACCGCACAATGTCAGATATTATTTCACACTTGATGTCTAATATTTCATATTCTGTACCAATTATTATGAACAGATTAGAATCGCTCTTTGCATATTTCGTTTTGGATAGCTGAATGACATCTCTAATCCTGGTACAAAAGTATCCATTTTGCTGTTTAAAATGATTGTTATTGAAATCATGGATTGATGTTAGACCACCACTGAAAACCTGGAATCACTGAACGTTCATTTCATGTCAGTAAAGGCACTTCTCAGTAGTGTGCATCCACTACCACGTACGCGGAAATCCGACTCAGGACCCTTGATCTCGCACATGAACGATTAACCTCTAAACCACTGAGCCGGCATAATACGGTGTTAATGTCTGACTGTAATGAGTTCACGATGGCGTTCTAGTATTGATCAATTCATGATTTCAACGAAACTCAACAATCTCCACAATCCCACAATTAAAATAAATAGGGTTTTATTTCATTAGTAAATTACATTACATATCGTCTTGCACTCGAAAATGTCAAAGATACAAAGCTTTCACATAAAAGGATAGATAATTTAGGTACCAGAATAAGTGAAAACATTTAGAGAAGCAATTTGTAGATTAGCAAATTATCCGTCAAGTTATTTAACAATTGTCATTATTATCTTATACAACTGATTGTTTATTTATTAGCTTGGGTGTTAGCACATAATTTTTCTTACTGGAATATGATGACTAAATTCCCAAGTTCGGTTATATTTATCAGCTATCCAGTAAAGTCTTTCTGGAATTGAACTTTATAGTAATAATTAGTAATAAGTCCCGAATATTGTCACTAATGTAATGCTAAAATAGAAGCACAAAAAACTAACGGTAACAAACCATAGATTAATTGTTTTCTTTTTTTTGTTTTCTGAAACCAAATCGCATTGCATGCCTCATCATCTCTTGTGATATTTCAGTTGTTTTTCGACTACATTATTTGTGATACACTTGTGCAGTTTTGTCATAAAATTCCTATGTAATAGTTATATTATGATACTTGATGGTTAGCATGTAAGTGGGAAATATAGAATCAACCCCTATTTAAACTTTTCTCCACTTAGCCCTGATAATACCACTAGTCTTCACAAATGAGATTTGCCTCAAGGCCCGAGTATATTGGCGTGCATTTGATTAATGAAATGCATGAGGAAATCAATTGTACAACTCTTGCTTAGGATGTCAATTTTGCTTGATTTTTCTATTCTAACTAATTTGTTTCTATTTTTAAAATATTACAACTCTAAAAGCGATTGATAATTGCATATTAAGTGTTTTAAGAATTTCCATAATGTTAAACACAAGAGCTATAGGTGATGATTTTTGCAAAGTCGAATGGATTTTGGTCATATATATTAAACTATTCAGATTCATGAAGCCCCATGTTAAGTGGAGTGATCGATTTATTTAACTATATCGATTCGTAGTGTTATTCATATTAAACATAAATCTAGGTTCAATTTGTATAACAAAATTTCTTATCTGAATCTGATATATTTAGTCTCTCTAAGCTTATTATTTAAACACTGAGATATCCTTCACGTTACCTCTTACATCAGCTGACATAATAAATACATATTATATTGGGAAACATGTGAACGTGTTTTTCAACTAAATAGCGTATGTGGTTACATTATTAAGTAATTTACTTCAAAGGCGGCAATGATCAAAAATACACAAACTATAACATTTCAATTAAATTCTAAAATTAATTATTTACCTACTGGAATCAATGTTACTTGTACAACTTGCTAAAGTAATGTAAATATTTCTTCTTAATCTGTATCCTTAAAAACAATTTGGTAATATAATTATCTATTGTGGTCGTTTATGTTCTGGCATGTGCATATGTTGCATCATATTACATCATACTATTTGTATACTTTGCTACTGATTAAACTGTGACTAATTACATATTTTAATTAGTTAATGAGTTGGTATAGTAAGGAAAGTTATATATATATATATATATATATATATATATATATATATATATATATATTTATGGTCGTTTAGCCTGGCGAAGTATCTGCTTTATGTACATACGCTTTTATTTAAAGGTTTTTCACTAAGCTTATTCGAGAATTTTAAAAACTGAGGTAAACTTGGACTCGAACCATGACAATGATTTTGAAAATTTAATTGTTTGTCGCTTAAAACACTAAGTAGATAATTATTGTTATTGATAATAGTAATGACAATAATAATGACGAAAATTACTGTTTTCTTTCGACATGTTTATTTTGTGATTTTAGTAAATCATAAAAATGATCTACCACCGTATAAAATCTTTTCACCTTCCCCTCGTTATCTGTTTTGATTAAAATTGTTGGACACTAGTTGGGAAATAAACATCCGAAAATGTTTTTTGGTAGATATATTTATAAGAAGACAGAAAATGTCGACTGAGACAGGATTTTATTCCCTATTTAAGACATAGATTATTTTACTCTTACCAATTTCTTTTTTCATTATTTCTCCTGAGTTTTCATTCAAGCCGATGTACTCTAATTTTGACATTTTAACTGAGTACCACTTTTTGATATCAGTTCATTAATTTTAACGTAAGAGATTTATGAAACTTGTTTGATTTTATAGCTTACATCACGAACGAACCATGGTAAGACAACCAGGAAGTATTAAACAGCTATTTCACCCCAGTATGGAACTCATTAGCAGTACATATTCATGACTCCACTAGGGATCAAAACCAGGACCTTCAAGTCTCATGGCAAACCCTTAATCTCTAAATAACTAAGCAGGGATCTAATAGGTAATATGCACAATTTTATCCAATTCACGATACTGCGCGATCATCTCCATCGGTGGGTAACTTACCTACTTACGCTTGGTACTCCTCGTGGAGGAGCATGGGCTGCCCACCAGCGTTCTCCATCTAACTCTATGCTGGACAATCCATTCCTTATGATGATGCTTCTTGCAGCCCAGAACCTCCTGACACGTTGATGTTAGTACTTCTTTGATCTCTTTTCAGTTGTCCTCCAACTTATAAGTGCTTTGCGTGCTTCTTCGGATAGCATCAGAGGAACTCCCTGATTGTGCGAACCATTTTCTTGTTCGTCACCAGAGTACAGAAGCATCTCTCTCGAATCTATCTTTTTCTGTCCAGCTTGGGTCCAATAGGTTTCACTGATTACGAGCACCATCGAGTTGTATGTCCTCATTTCTGTAGTTATTTGACTGGTTCTTCTGGTCTCCCACATTGTGCGAACACTCCATGTAAATATAAAAATTGTTGCTCTGGTTGTTATAAGGTGCATCGGTCTAGTGAGTTCCAAAGAATCTGAGCTTTCACCACGAGGCCTCATAATTCTTCTGAATGAAGACCCTTCGACTTGGAGGGCAGAGTTTAAATGGTTTACTTTGCTTATTCTGGTTAGCGTTTTTTTAACAGGGTTGTTTTGTAAGGGAAGTGGTTACTGACCCCATGCCCAACCCTCCTTATTTGTATGGGCTTAGGAGCGGTATTAACTCTAGAACTACAGGTGTAGTTGTTGGGTAACTGCGTCAAATAATTCAGATATAATTCAATTCGTAAAATAAAATTCTTTCAATTTTATATTTCTCAGTCTACTACTTAATTACAGGTTTTACTAGGCTTTGAGTCATAGATGTATGCAAGTAGTACAAATGATATGGTTAGCTAAACCCGAAGTATATGACATGAAGTTTGAATTTACGGTCGAAAATTAAATGCCTAATGTTGTGACCTTGGATGTCTGACTTTTCGATCACACGACTTATCTACCAATCCGAATACGACTTATACGAATCTTCACACTAGGCCAACCAATGACGTTCAACCGGTGTGGACAGTTTAGCGTCCTTATTGGTCCTATGTCCTACGAGCCCTTCCACTTGAGTCCAGAACAAGATACCAGCTCGTTTATTTCAGGCATACTTGGTTTATATATCAATCACACAGACCGCAACGTACCATAAAATAGGAAATAATATTTGTACACAAATAAGCCCAAAAAGTGGCTGTGAATGTGGGAGGCAGTAGTTAATAAACTGAACATAACTTAAGAACCGTAAATCGTACAATAATAAGTTATAGGTCAAAATAAAGCTTATCATAAAAGGAATATAAATATACATAGTGTGATTGTTGAGTAGTTATACAATAAGAATAATTATAGAATATTAGTCCATGAATAGTCCTCGGAAGTTACCTGTAATTTAATCTCCACTCGGATATAACACCTAAACCATTCGTCGAAATATTTCGAAACATATCAGTGCATTATTTTACGAAATATACCATAAAATGATCATAAAAGTTTTGTTTGTATGTTTTCATTTGAACGTCATGTTTATAATTTTCAGGAAAAACTGAAAGGTCGTAATAAACTAGTACCACGATTGTTTGGAGTAAGCAAAGAAAGTGTCATGCGTGTAGATGAAAAAACCAAAGAAATTATAGAAACGTGGTCATTAACACGTATACGTCGATGGGCTGCTACTGCAAATCTTTTCACTCTGGTATGTATAAATTTATTTATATCTAAACGTAATTATTGATGAGTACCTTTCTTTTTGTTGTAGTGTTTTTGGTTTACCCTTAAGTCTATTGATTACTTTTTTATGAACTCCTGGACAGATTGATTTATTTTGTAATGGTTTGCGTTGTCCCGTTTTCGGTATTTTTGACTAAATTTTAATCAGTCTTTTGTCAAGTTCATTCAGCTGATGAGTCCAGAATAGGACGAAACGTGCGTCCACCATTTTATTGCCAATAACATTTCATCAACTTCCTGACAGATTATATTTTATTGAATAGTTAGGCATTGTTTCAAGGCTTTTTTCCATGGATTTTGTTGGTTCTATGAAGTGCACTATGTCTTATTATATCATACATATATATTTGTCTATAGAACTTTAATATATTTTATACTTCCAAAGTGTCTATTCTGATTGTTTACATTAATTAATAATTCTATTTTTGTTGTCCCTTTTATTTATCCGTACAATTTTTAACGATAATTAGTTATAGAACAATATATCATGATTAATTAGTGCATTGAGTTTTTTTCCCAATGAATATGTTATCAGTGAATACGGTGTATAGAATATTTATTACGTCAGTCAGTCATGCGCAGTATAGAACTTGACATATATGCATAGCGGTTCAATTTGTAACACAACACTAGAACGATAAAAAGAGATTATTAAGACAAACATCAAATTAATAAAAGTAGTAAATCTGGGTTGTAGTAGAAACCATTAGACGCAAACAATATGGTTCGAGAAAAAGAATAAATTCATGGAGAGGAGTTTAAGATAATTTCAAAACTAAACCTAATAGTGTACAACGTGTGAGTGCATTTACGCTATTATGATCGATTTCGAGCTATCACTTAATGTCTTCAACCATTGGTTACGATAATCCCGCCTACTCCAACCTAGTAGTCTGAATCTACCAGCACGGCTTAGTCCGATTATCGATGACTTCATAGGTTGGAGCCACGTTTCAGCCCATTATACAAGATTGGAACAGTATTAATTTGTAAGTGTAAACCATTTGAGAAATTTCTGTCGTCTGCAAGGTTTGGTGCTCTGAGTTTCCATAAACATTTCTATCAAATCAGTTTTCTGTCCTTTCCCATATATACATACATTAACTTGATACTGGTTTTTTTTGGAAAAATTTCTGACTTTTATTTGAAGATTCAGTTTCTTACCAATACTGGCAGAATTTGATCACAATGAAACAGTGAACTGCAAATAGGAAGGCTGAAATTCTAGTCATTAAGTTTCGTATTTTAGTACTGATCTACTTGTTTGTCTTTGAGAGTAACCTGGCATCATCTGTAATTCTGACACATGTATTATTTATAATATAGTACTTAATTTAGTATGAAGTTGTTATATTCTATTAGAATCATGCTTATTTTAGTTCAGAAATAAGATAATATTCACGCTATTTTAAGAAGTGTATTGATGAGGTTGCGATCATATGTATTATTATAAGTCACTATATAAGTGTAATCACGTACATCGTTATTACCACTATAATTAATTCTAATAATGAAAACAGAGATAAAAGATTTTGGTTGTTGGAATAGATTCTTCATAAAATCTAAATGCTCGCAATATAATGCCAAGGTTGTGATCACAATGATTTACTCTTTGTGTACTTGAACCGAAATCTAGAAACAACTGTCTAACATTTATTTATTTATAATAAATATTTCTATGATACTAATTTATGTTAGGATAACTTGAGAATTGCTAAAATTTCTATATGGATAATGTGAAAATTAATCGCAAGTATAAAACTAGATTATCACTTGCGTACTTCCTGTATGGTTTTGTTTCTTTATGTATTCATATAACATTTTATTAAATACAAGTTCTGATTGAAATCTTCACCATAGTACTAGCAGTATTGTATGATTTGTATTTCTCTGAGGTCATACTTCCAAGTGAAAAAAGAAACATTTTGATGAAATGGTGAAAAGTTATTATATATATTTCTCTTAACTTGGGCGTCGACATACTCCAAGGTCATTTATTGGGTAACATTACTTTCACATTGTTTATTATTTTAAACCATTCAGATAGATAGACACGGGTAAAAAAGTATGTATACAGTGGGAGTATTATTTCATAGTATAAAAATCTACAATTCTCGACTGTAATTTTATACTGATATCGTTTATTGCCTATTCTTAGTTTCAATATAGTAATGCCAATCACTACATATTGTTGCAATTTAATCAAGTTTATCTATAGTGACCAATTGATTATGTTTCTATTAACAGTAAAGAAATTAGTGTGAATAAGTTGGAAACCATTTACGGTCATCTAGAAATTCATCAATTTTTGCTTCGTCAGGTTTAAAATCTTAGCACTTCACATTTGTAAAATCTAAACTGACAGACTAAAAATTATCGACAACAACGTGCAAAGTATCCTCAACTACACACATCAAAATACCAACCCAGAAGTGGATATAACAATTTGCACAAAAAAACAGCTTAGAAAATAAACACATTATCTTACAGTCTTTTCACAGAAAAAACTGGAAAATTCATGTACACACAACTTTACTCGAATGTATATTTTCGAAAATTTACTAAATTTTGTTAGACTGATTATTGACTGATTTTATAGACACTGATTACTCATCTTCCTTGATATTATTCAAAAGTCATTTGCCGGTTATTGTTGCTCGCATATCGCCTAAACTGTTCTACTTTCCAGCTAGCAATATATATATATATATATACGCATACAGTAACACAATGTAAATCATTTGATCTATTTGTTTTCTAACTGTTCACTTAAAAAATACTGTTTTTGTTCTTTTTCAAACATTAATTTGTTTGTGTTTTCCTAAATCTCTTTTCTTATTAAAAACTTATTATTTGCTTAATGTACTCCATAATTCTTTGATGAATATAATGATAGTTTATGGACGAGTAGGTCACGAAGCAGATTGCTAAGACTATTGTCTCGATCGTTTGACATAATTGAAATGTTTTGATTTTGTTTGTCTAGCGCAAACAGACAGTCAGTGAGTCATAGTCGATCCTAAACTTGTACTATCTGAGATGGTAGTAAGTGTTGGTATCCTGACCCGACGACATATATTTTGTTCTGTCACCAGTAATTTCTTTCGCTATATATATATATATATATATATATATATATATATATATATATATTTATTTATTTAAAGAACAGTGAGTTCATCCAATTGTTACATAACAAGTTACACGTTTATAATTCTGGTGTTTGTATCGATGATGGTAGTGTCCTCTTTTCTGTCCTAGATTGTTTAGTCGTTGTTGTTATTTTCTTTTTGGAGGATTTCCTGACAAATGTTCCTCGGAAGACAGTGAAAGTTTAGTGACAAATATGATTCTCAGTATAAAAGGTTTGTGCAGATTATTGAATGTTAGTGAGATCACAAACTCACCAATGCTAGGATACCACTGATAATCAGGAAGTACTGAACAACAGTCTCATCCTAGTATAGTAACGCGAACCTACACTCTAATCAGGAGTCAAACCGAAAACCTTTAGGTCTCGTAGTGAGTTCTTAACCTCTAGATTTTATCTAATAATGACGTAATTGTTTATTTGTGGGCAAAATATTTTAAAAGTATAAGAATGTGTGTTTAAATGAGATTAGCCGTTGTTTTTTGTTTTGTTTCCGTAACATTATGAATAATTGTTGTTATTGGTTTCGATTTGTTACAACGATTATTTTGTGTATCAACTAAATGTTATTATATAATCTATACAAATCCGCTGTTGTATATGCTGTCTGTACATTTTTTGTTGCTTTTATTATTGGTAATATTTATATTAGCCTATGTGTTTACTTACTAATATTCACTTGTTATTCTAGTGAAATTTTTTACTCGCATGAATTTTACTAGTAAATAGTACATATTCATATGCAGTCGATATTGTTCAGATTTTAGTGACATGTCTAAATGTGTACGTCATTGAATACACATGCATATTACTTTTATGGGCATGATTAATATTACTGATTAATAAACGAGTATAGTTGTTGATTTTATTAAAACATTATGGTCGCCTAATACAATCGAATACCGATTTATAATAAAAATAATGATACATTAGTAATATCTCAGTGAGGATAAAATTAAATTTCCAACCTTTTCAGACAATCTAGGTTACTTTCTTGAAAAAAATGTATTAATTTAGCTTGTTATAAGCTATTTAAAAGTTCTAATGCCAGTTGTTAGATTACCGTGTGGTAGCTTATGATTGATCAATAAATCTTTGACGGTTATTTCCCAGTATAAACTGATGAAAGCAGTGGAATTACTGGAAATCAGAAAGTAAAGAAGCGCTTTGTCATTATAAGATCATACATCTCGGAAGTGGTAGTGACCCACAACCTTATTTATTTACATGGCATCGAACATTTGATCTCCGATTTTCATAGCGAACAAGATACTTTTGGCAGACCAGTAACCAAAAATTTAACGGACTATCTTTTTAATTTCGGTCACTCGAAGATATAGCGCAATCCATTGAATAACTTCATTTCCAATTTGATTTTCTTGACTGGTCACGTTTTTTAAGTTTGATGATTTAAATGCTATGTTCATTTAAAGTGAAGTGAAGCCAATGATCGAAATATTGACCCTTGAATCTACTCACATCTTTATTTTCCAGTCCATATACAAATTGATAATTAGATTCAGAAAAGAACTTATATATCTATTTGCATATAAGGTTCATCTTATCACTGTTATTGCTCTATGTACGCTCTATGTCTTTAAAATCTTTGAATTAACATGTACGCTTGTTTTAATAACTACTCAACTTGAAATCTTCAGAGAATTAAGCCTTCTTGAAGATTACTGATAGGTGGCAATATTCACAAACTTCAGTTTTAGGAGGTGTTCTGACTGTTTACTCCTACCAACATTTATATCCTCTTGATTCCTGGTAAAACTCCACTGTGATTTATTTCTTGATCTATTATTCAAATCAGTCTGTTAACTTATTTATGCGAACGTTTTTTTTCTTTAAGGATTTCGGTCAGTATAGTCCAGATGGAAATTATATTATGCAAACAACTGAAGGCGAACAAATTGCACAGCTTATATCTGGTTATGTGGATATTATTTTACGTAGACAACGTAGTCGTGATAGTGGTCAAACAGAAGGCGATGAAGAAAATACAATCATTGAAGAGAATATTGCTCCATCAAAGTAAGTTTTGCTTTCTCCTACTAATTTTTTTACATTCATTTAATCGAATGTTTCCAAATATCTACTTGTTTGTATTTTATCAAATTTTCATTTGATTCCTTCTTATCGAGGAGTCAGTATGTTTTTTCTGGTTATTGAATATTGACTAAATTTAATTCATCCTCTGAGTAATCTTCCTCATACTACGTTGTTCCATCTTCTTTCGTAAATTCATAATGTCCCAATCAGTTAGTCAATGATAAATAAGGTAGAATCTGGTATATTTATGTACGACTCAGGTTGGCATGTCAAATCAATACAACGCGATAAAATTGTCAAGATAAATGCCATAGTAGTAGTAGTAGTAGTCATAGTGAGAAAGATTATGTATAAAGAATATCATTCGAAAAGGAAGGATGGATTTGCAGAATGAATATTATAAGTGTTTTGAAACAAAAAGTGAGTAAATCTATTTCATTGAAACCGATTCGCAGTCATGTCATCTAATGTCTTCAATTATAGATCACGGTATTTGTGCGAACTCGAACCAGATTATTTATTTATTTGAACACATGAATATTGGTACAAGAGAGCGCCAATATATATGCGCCACACAAAACAATGAGAATTCGAAGAGAAGTAGAAAAAAAAACTAAGGAGCGCAAAAGAAAAAGAGAACAATGACGAAGAGATTGGAGTAAGGTAGTGTGGTAGTAACGAGGGCATGAAAAGGTACAATCAGAAGAAATCTTTCAGGTAAAGGAGACACAACCACTTTTTATGAAGAAAGTAAAAGAAGGTTACAGCAGGATCGCCACTGGCTTCTATTCTGAGCCATATCTGATAACGTCTCTAGCCACTGTGTAGCACCATCTTTCAGACCCCAACCAGGGAGTCGTGAAGGACCAACACAAGCCAGTCCTTTGCAGCTTTCTTTCATGCCACGACACCATGTCATGCACTGACCACCTCTCCGCTTCTTCCAACCAGTCCCAGAGTCGGCAAATAATGCACGACGTGGAATTCTCTGGGACGACATTCGGAGAACATGTCCAAGCCACCGAAGTCAGTGTTTCAAGATGGTGACACCAATTGAATTATCATCTCTGTGCCCGAACACACGATGCCGAACCTCTGCATTACTGACATGGTGTTGCCACTGGATGTCAGCAATCCTTCGGAGACAGCGATGATCGAACACAGAGTCGTCTAACGTCCTCAACTCGGAGAGGCCAGGTTTCACAAGCATAGAGCAAAACTGCTCTCACCGACGCGTTGTAGATCCGGCCTTTTACAGCCAGATTAACATGACGAAGGCCCCAAAGGTGGCCCAGGTTGGCATAAGCCGCTCTGGCTTTCACTATTCGTGCATTGATCTCGTCAATCACACCCCCACCAGCACTTATGCAGCTACCCAGATACACGAACTTCTCAACTACGTCTATCTGCTCACCATCCAGAGTGAGTACAGGATTAGAATCCTGCCAGTCTTGTAGAAGTACTTTGCACTTCGAAGGTGCAAAGCACATACCATACCTACGGACACTGATTGCCAACTGATTAAGTGCGGATTGCATGCCTTGGGCATTATCGCACAGTAAGACAATATCGTCCGCATACTCAAGGTCGAGAAGTCTTTCTCCAGGCAACAGATCCACACCACCATTACTTACATCCATCAGAGCTGTTTCCAGAATGTCATCGATGGCAGAGTTGAAGAGGAATGGTGAGATTGGGCAACCCTGCCTAACCCCACTACTCGAATGGAACAATGGAGAGAGGTGGTTGTATGCCCTCACTCTGTCTGAGGTGTTTTTATATAGGGCTTTTAGGATGTTAATAAACTTCTCAGGCACACCCTTCTTCAATAGACAATCCCAGAGAACAGTCCTGTCCAACGAATCGAAGGCAGCCCTGATGTCAAGAAACGCTACGATTGTTGGCCTTTGAAAAGTATGGCGGTGTTCTAACATTTGGCGGAGGGTGAAGATATGATCAATACATCCTCGACCAGAACGAAACCCAGCCTGCTCCTCGCGAGTCAATCTTTCTCGGGTTTTGAACAACCTACGAAGAATGACGGAAGCCAATAGCTTGGACGCAATCGGAAGTAAACTTATCCCCCGATAGTTGTTACAGGAACGACGTGAACCTTTTTTAAAGATAGGGACAACTATCGACTCATTCCATGACGTTGGTACACTCTCTAGTTCCCAAACCTTTGTAAACAACGTCGTCAATTCCTTAGTCAAAAAGTCACCACCATCTTTAAAAAGAGCTGGAGGTAAGTCATCTGGGCCAGGTGATTTGTAACGCTTGAAGAGTTCGAGTTCCTTGCGGACTTCCTCCTCATTTGGTGGATCAGTCGTCACCGGCCATGGAGGGCAGGACAGTCTGACCGATGTTGCCTGAGCAGCAGGCCAGTTGAACTGCCCTTCGAAAAATTCTGCCCATCGTCCAAGACGTCGATGGATGTTAGTGATTGGCATCCCATCATCCTCGCAGATTGTTTCACTCACACCAGACTTCTTGCTGCCGGTGTCTCGGATGAGCTGGAAGAGCTTTCGGTAGTTACCAGATGCAGCTGCTGCTTCCAGCTCATTAGCACGCATCGACCACCAGGCTTCTCGGTCCTTACGCAAGCTTTGCCCAATTTCCTTATGTAACATCCTTCGTTTGTGGTCAAACTCACGGTCACCCGGAGTAGACCGACGGGCTTCAATGAGTTGTAAGGAACCTGGAGAAACCCAGTGCTTAAAAGCGGGACGTTTCGCGAACCCACAACTGACTGTTCCCGCCATTTTCATGGCGTCATGCAATTGCAACCAATGCTCATCTATACTTTTCGGTGGAATGGTAGCTAGCCTAGAAACTAGCTCGGTTGGATACTTATTAGCAACAGAAGTTGCAACCAGCTTGCTAACATCAATCTTTTGGTGGTGGTCACTTCGTTGTCCACTGAAAAGTAAGGCGAGATTGGCGCAGACCAAGGCATGGTCAGAGTCCAGATAGGTACTCCAAAAGGAGCGGCAGTCTTGTACACAACCACGCCAGCGGTAGCTGATCGCGATGTGATCAATCTGAGTCCAGGCTTGGGATGCAGAGGGAGGACGCCAGGTGGCACATCGGCGATGACTGTGCCGAAAGTTAGTGCTAGCCAGAAACAGGTTGTGGTCTGTGCAAAGTTGCAGTAGACGGTCCCCGTTATCTGACCTGCGACCAACGAGTCCCCATCGGCCACCTAAACGACTCTCTTCTGTGCCTAGACGCCCTACCTGAGTATTCAAGTCTCCGGCTAGTACTACAATATCTGTCGAACGCACTTTCTGGAGAAGAACTGATAACTGGTGGTAAAACTCATTCTTGATTGCATCCGGGCTGCAATCTGTCGGGGCATAGGCGGAGATGACGAAAAGACATCGTTTCTCACGCCGATTTCTTCTCACTTTGATGGAACTTTCTAATCTCACAGCACATAACCGACTGTTAATGGGGATCCAATCGACTAGTGCTGCCTCAGCTCTAGCGCTTAGTGTGACACCAACGCCAGCAAGACCAGACGAAGATGCCACAGGGTCCCCGGATAAGCGCACGTAAAACAAGCTTTTCGAAGCGACAGATGAAAAGCGAATTTGTAGTACTTCGCCAGAGTCTTGAATACGGGTCTCGGATAGACAACAAACGTCAATATTAAGACTTTCCAAAGACATAGCCAGCCCTATCTGTTGTCCGACCTGCATAAATGTGCGAACGTTGAAGGCAGCCAGTTTGAATGGTGCACGTGGTTTCAGAAAAACTGCTTCAGTCCTCGTATTCGGTGGTAACATACAATTTTCAACCGGACAGTGACTCGAGAACGTTTAGATACAGTCGAATTTCCACCAAAGACGAGCCGCTGTATAAGTATAAAAGAGGGTGAATAATGTGGAAAATAATAATAATAATAATAATAATAATAATAATAATAATAATAATAATAATAATAATAATAGTAGTAATAATAATAATAGTATTAATAATGACAATAATTGTAATGATAATAATCTGAATCAATTGTTTGTTTTTCAAAGCGAGAAAGGTAATTTCCATAGGCTTAAAGAGTTCATCAATTTGTGTGTGGGCTGTGATACTGCCCGGGTGCCCAAACCGAAGCAGGTGGTTTTCTTAGGGGGCCACTCCCCGAGCCTTTGACCTAAAGGTCTAACCCACAAGGCAGTGGAGCATCGTAAGGAGATGCAGTCCCATGGTAGCCGGTGACCAACGATTGGTTCATACGCCATTTGTTCCCGCAGGGTATTGGAGCCCATGTGCACCATCGTCCTCTCATTTTCGAAGGCGAAGTCGTACTGCTGACTGTACAGAGGTGTGACAGCAGTAAGGTGTTTCCTTCAGACAACCAGCATGACAGCGATGCTGCCTTCCCACAAGGAGGGGTGGGGTTAGAAAAGGTCGACCCTAAAAATGCACACCTCACCTTACCTCACGGATTTCCGTCTCCGGCGGTAAGGCCCTTTGAAGAACGGAGCTAACACGTCGAAAACCTTCCACGAAAAGGCCGTGCGCGACCGGCCTCAAGCAGCTGTCCCTTGGGCACTGCGGTCACGCTCTCAGGTCACTGAGACCACCTCTAATCCGATTTCCTTTTCAGGTACCTCCAGAAGAACCCTTCCACGGTGTGGGCAACCGGGAAGTGATAGCCGCCCTCATACCTCTAACAGCACCCAAGACCACTGTATTCATAATCAACCTTCCTCTTCAATTCCTATTATTCCTCCCACATCGACTTTCAACCCTAAACTTCCTCCTTCGGCTTCCTCCTTAAGTGTCACCATAGCCAACGATTCTAGTGCTCAAAACTCTGTCCCAGGTCTACTGAAACCTCGCTCCAAACTACACATTGGAGCTTTCAACGTACGCACTCTATGTCAAATCGGTCAGCAGGCTTCCTTGGCTAAAACCCTAGAGTCTCTTTCCATTGATGTATGCTGTGTCTCTGAAACACGCATACAGGATCCCAGTGT